CCCCTTTTCTTTCTTACACTTGACCTCTCTTAGACCTCAATCATTTAGAACCTACTCAGTGACCCTATTGCTCACTTAGGCACAGGAGTGGGTCCTGGTCCCTAACTCATTTCTCACAGTACCCAGCATTGGACAGCACATCTTCCCCCATGAAGGTACTAGCTCTGCTAGAGATCTCAATGTAACCCACCACATTCTGTAACCAGGGCCAACTGATGGGTAGGCAGAGAAAAGTTGCTAACCTTATTAGCAAATGATCTTCCCACTAGCCAACAAAGATGCTGGAAATCCTTACAATGGGTAATTCATTCCTTTCAGTTAAGTGTCACCCTCTCAATCTCTTTCACAATTACATAGCTTTCTATCTCCTTACTACAAAAGCAATATGTGTTCATTTTAGCCAAGTCAGCAAAAAAGCAGAGGTGCAAAAAAAAAATGTTTCAAAGATAAATTTCCTGTTTTCCTTTGAAATAATAACAACAATAAAGGAGGTAAAAATATTAAGACACCAGCTTCTAGGGTAAACCAACCGCCCTGGTCCAACAGGGATTGGAAGCACTTAAGATCAAGAGTGTTGAAGCTGAGGAAGCCCCCTCTGAAGGGGCAGGGGAGAGGGAAGAAGGAACGACAGAGAGAAAGGGACGAGTGGAGACGAAGTCTGCCTATGACTGCTACCCTGTAATTTCTAGGAATGTGCCAAATTACACAGATATCTGTTAATAACTGTTTCAAATGATTACTTTTCTGAACTTCAGACAAATCATTCATGGCTTATTGTGGTATATACTAAGCCACAACTCATATTTAAGGTGTATTTTGATATCTCCCAGCAGAATTCATCAACTTGCTAAAAGAGCAGTCAGGGAACCAACAGTCAAGTAATTTGAAATGCCAAGTACTTATCTCTGGGAAACCTCTATTTGCCCAATTTAAATGAAGCAGAAGCAAGTTATTTCACTGACAAGAATAAAAATGGTTACCGGTGAGTGCCCACAAAGTATATGGATCTCAAGCACAAGGCTGCACGTGGGAGTACATGTGTACTATCAAGTGATTTTAAATAACCGGCATCAAGTCCAGGTAGGCGCAAATCTCTGCAGCACAACAGCAGCTTGGGGCAGTAGCTGGGATAGATGCTTTGGTAATATGTTAACATTCAGGATAAACAAAGCCAAGCCTTCCAGCAGGTGGAACAGAGGACACTGCTGCCTTCCTGGCCTGCCAGCGCACACAGTGAAATGCACCTCAGGGTACCAACATTCCCAGCTACAAAGAGCTATTCTAAGATGCTGCTATCTTGAATGTGGGAATGTGGTGGCAGACAAGTAGCTGTTTCTTTTCTTTCAAAATCTGTAGAGAAAGCAGATAGCATGACAGATATTTCTTAAAAGAGATCTTCTTTTGTGGTGGGGAACCTAAAAGGATTACTTGTCAAGAATCCTGCTCCATCCATTACAATTGAAGAAAACCTGTTTAGAAAAAACTACTTTCGTGGGGAAGAAATGACTTTGGAACATTTGAAATGCCTTGACCTATGATGTAATGACCTCGAAGGAGCCTGAGTTAGCAATTCTTTACTGGCAATGAAGTCACCCATCACCTTACTGAGTGTACAGGTAAGTAATAGCTCCAGATTGACTGACTGCAATGAATAATACCCACAAGTCATAAACATCAGCAGAAACCCAAGAAATCCAATTCTCCACATTGTTTTCTACCTGTCCGAGGGCCACAGCTGTACTTATACACTGCCTATATCAGAATCGTGCTGCTTTCAAATCCTGAAAACTTGCTTTCTGATAACCAAGGTTATGGCATTTCTGTACAACAGAGCTATTGGAGTCCTATGTGACCCACATACGTTTGGACTCCATTCCTCAGGACCCAAGGCAAGGTAAGTTCAAGTTTTGGAACACAGAGTCAACTACCCTGGCTGAAAACCAAATGCTACTGGCAATGTCTCCTTTTTAAACCCCTGGGTAGAGTATTAATGACCCCATAGCAACTTGTATGGCTGGTATACAGAGACGAAAGAGGGAAAAAAGACAAGACAACAAGAGACTACACACACACAATGAAAACTAAACTTATAAATGCTAGGCAAACAAAGAAAAATGCTGTAAAGAGAAAATGATGAGATTAGTTCTGTGGAATTCCTGAAGAAATAATTTTTAATCTTTATTTATAAGGAAGAAGAAAGATGGATCCAAAACCAAACATAGTAGTTTAAGAGACATTTGATGATATACAGAAAGAAATGGGATTTCCAAAAGGAAAGTGGAGGGAGATCGGGGATTAATTGGGTGGGAGACACAGGGGACAATCACAATTTGTGGTAATGGGCATGCTGATAGTATTGATCTGGCCATCACATCTTGGGTACAAGTGGTGACCATCAGCTTTGTACTCCATGAATATGCATAGCCAATAAAATAAAAATTAAAAAACAAATAATTAAAATAAGAAATTAAATATTTACTAATAACTATGTCAATATCACAAAAAAGTTCAGAGAGTTTAAGATCCAGTTCCTATCACTAAGAATTTTATGATCTAGCTGGGGGTAAGAGAAGGATTAGATAGACAGATATACAGATACCACATTAATACCAAATAATACTAAAAGGCAAAAATTAATTAATACTCAAAGGCAAAATTTTCTTAATGCCAAATAATGAGTATCAGCAGAGAAAGATATTATTTAGAGGCTCCCTGTAGACCAGCATATGAGGAATGACTTCCTGGAGGTGAAGATTAAATCAGACCCTGAAGATAGGTCAGGACTATTTTGAACAAAAAAGTAGGGGAATTATTTCAGGCAGAGGGAATCAAAGTATGCAGGAAGCACACAAGGGCTACTAGAAGGACAGCAAACACACCACTCAGAAGAGTGTTTAAAAAACACAGGAAGAGAAATCACTTATCTTAATTACACTCCTCAGAAAAGCTGTTTATCATCAACTGCTGCCTGGAACCATGAGGGCACTGGGAGGCAGTGGGAGGCAGTCCCCTGCATCACAAGGCTCACCTGTCCTCACCTGGAAACTTGTTAGATATGCAAACTTACAGGGCTCTTCTAAGACCTACTGAATCAGAAGCCCTGGGGTGGGGCCCAGTAGTGTAGGTTTTCACAAGCCCTCCAGGTGACTGTGACATGTGCTCCAGTTTGAGGAGCGCTTGTCTGTACCGAAACTTTTTAACATGATGATAAATCTGGACTGATAGATGCTCACAAGTAAATCCTTTAAAAGATGGGACTCCGGAAACAGTCTATGTACTTAAGAGAAACAGATGTAGTTCATCCACTGCATAGAAGAAAAAAAAAATGAAGTGCTTGAAGTAGGAGAAAGTCTACATTGTAACAAAAATCTCCTTTCCAGACTTGCTTCTACTACTTCCGCCCCCACTTCCTTTTTGGTCTCTCAAGGTTGAAGTGCTCTTCATGACATTTTAAAATCTGTAAGAATAGGAAGCTGGGGAATTCACTCCTCGTCTGATTTATGACCAAAAATAAAGTTCTTGTTTCAAGCCTGGACGTGTTGTGAATTGCACATTGACTATACCATGGCACCTAATGTCATTTTTCTGCAGAACCAGTGTGGAAGAAAGATGGCACTGAACTGTTCTCCACTGGCTGTGATACACACTTACTGAAAGAAAGAATCCAGGATCTGGTTTTCACTAACACACACACAGCATCGATTCCTCCTCGAGTGTAACCAGGATTACAGATTCCAGGTTCCTATGTTAACTACTGTTGTTGCTGCTTATAATACTAAAGTGAAAGAGAATTTTTACTGCAGAAAAAGAATAGGAAAAGTGACAAGCATAACCGAGAAATATGTAATTTAACTCTGCAAATACACAATCTTCAGCTTATTTTACATATATATATAAAATATATGTCATAATATATACATGACAATCTTGAGGAAGAAAATCGTATCTGGAGAATGTGTTTCCCTACTTGGAGTTTCACTTTGATTTTCAGCTAGATTTTCATAGTCGTCAGGTCACCCCAAAATTTTAACATATCAAATGTCTCCCAGCCTCTCTTAATACTTAATAAGTTCATAACGATTTCATGTGGATCCAGCAGTAACTATAAAAAGCCAAGTAATCTGAGGAACACTTTCCAATCCATTTAAATTCCCAAGAATGCCCAGCTAGAGTCAGATGACATCATTCTCTATAATTTATTTTAAGCAACTTTAGTTTTAAAAAATTCTTTAATACTCTCAGATGAATTATACATGTACTTTTGGATGTAATTTGATTGACTAATCAAGTAATGCCTTGTAATTATTAAGGGAGCAGTTTTTTCTTCTCTAAGCATTTGTTTGAAATTTGATGCCCCCCTGCTCTCCCAAGCCACCACCATTCTGCATCTACGCCACGGCCTTGGTCCACACAGCAAGATAAGCCCTTATAGAGTCAAACAAGTACAAGGTATTTTGTTTGTATTAGTAGCATCTGTCCTAATAAACCTGAGCTGATCTGCACAAGCCTGGCACTAAACCAAACTGAGAAGATAAAATCAGATCTGTCATCCATCACGTCTCAATCACGCAGACTGCTACTGAGTCAAATAGAGCATAAAGCTCCCCAAAATTCGTATAACTATCATTCTGTAGACAGTTTCAAGAGTTTGTATCACAGTGCATGAATTCTCATATCTCTCAAAGTTTGCATAACTAGTGAGAAAACATACTAAGTAGGACAGTCACAAATTTCCTTTGCACAACCCCAAACTGCCACAAACTAAACTTAGATCAGATTTGAAGTAGCTCCCATCCACCCCTTCGGTACTAGAAACACAGAGACACTATTCAAGAAAGGCTTTGGCTTTATGGATCCCTCTCCCTTTGGCAGCCCCACCGATTAGAGAACAAGGGTCCTCAGATCCAAAGGCTTCAGTACCCGCTGGCCATGTAAACTTCAAAATGAAGCCGGTCCTGGCCCTCCTACCCTCAGCACCAAACAGAAGCACAGTTACTTGCCCAGTGGGTGTCCAGTCGCCACAGTTCCCTCCATCTGTAAGAAGGTGGTTTCTGTCTGGTCCAGGAGGCCCATGGACAGCTGCAGTCGTGGGAGATGGGGAGGAAAGTGAGTCCAGACTGCTGGTTGGGGTGTCCTCCTTAGGAGGATTAGGACTGTCACCTAGGGGGAAAAAAGCATTGAATTTCAAACAAATACTCAGAGAAGAAAAAATTAACTCCGTTAATAATTACATGGCATTACTTGATTAGTCAATTAAATTATATTCAAAATTACATTTATAATTCAGCCTGAGAGTATTTGGGCGTTCTGTCTCTAAAGTTTTTTTTTTTTTTTTAAACACCAAAGATGCTTAAAATAAATCATAGATAATACACAGTAAGAAGTGTTTTCCCCACAAGAAAACACAATAATCCAAGTCAGATCAAATGGAAGACAAGAGCCTTAATGGCAGCCACAATGATTTCCTAATGTATAAGAAGCCCAGGTATAAATAAACCACAACATCAGCAGCAGCTCAGAGCACCCCAGCTGCAGGGTCCAACCTCTCACTTGCCAGTCACCTGTTGGGTCTTTAAGCCATTCTCAGTCACCACTTAGTTCATAGTAAACTGAACGACTCTAAAAGGAACCTTGTCTTCTGAGCTGGTATCTTGGGTTACAATTTCTAATAGCCCAATTTATTAAAATCCCAGACATAGAGAAACTTCCATTTCCCTGTGAATATCAGGGAGGATGTTGTACGAGGGTCAGGCCCCTGCAGTGACTGCAGGGGATGAGTTTAAACCAGAACTAAAAGGCATTTTCTAAATGAGTTGCATGATTTATGCATTCACAGAGGACCATTTTATGAAATAGGTTTAGTATCATTTGTACACATTACGGGCTTGGGTGGACAATGCAGAAGACGGAAAAGAGAGCTCACAAGAGCAGCTGTTTCCCTCAACTGGTCTTCTTGTTTTCTCAGTGCTCCCAGCTGCCATAAGTGCACCTGAACTGCACCCGTTAGAGCTTGGCCCTTCAGCATAATCCACAGTCCCCACTAAATATTAATCCCTCTGGGGTGCCATACAGAGGCAGCAATGTCCTATGAAGATGGCACTGACTTGTCCTTGGTTTTGTAGGTGATGAGTCACAGAGTCAGTCAACAAACTGACACAGAAGCAAATGATACAAATGGAGGCCCAGAACCCCAGCCACCAACAGCTTTTACCTGAGTAAGGCTTCATGCTTCCTCAGTCCTAGGTCCTAGAAACAGAGCAAGCATAAACACAAGGAACAGCAGGAACCTGCTCTCAGAAAACCATCTTAGATGGATTTCAATTCTTCTAAAAATGAAGCACAAGAGAAAATCCAGGCTCTCATTAAGCTAGAGCCCAAGATGCTAACCTTGAAAATTGATTGTACGAAATAATTTTTATTTACCCCGACTCAGTTTACAACTAAGGCTAAGAGAGAGAATCTTAGAAATGGAGATCTAGAAAAGCTAAATTCAGGGAAGCAAGAGTTAGAGACGGAGATGATGGCTTGAAGAAGGAATCACTTATGGGGACAGTTAGGGGGAGATGCCTGGATGACTCTGTGCAGAAGATTCTGGAAGGGAGCTGTCTTCTGGGCTCTTTCTTTCAAAGTATGTTGCAGGGGAGGGTGGGGGATATGGTGGAACAAGAGACGGACCCCATCTCCATGGGCAAGTCTTCTTCCTGGGCTGAGCCTCTGCCTATAAAGCCTTGCGCCATCCCCATTCACCAATGAATACTGAATGATGGCTCTTTCAGTGAAGTCACTTTTTCCACAGCCCTTCACCACAAAGCAGTTAGCTAATTGGAGAAATTCAGCCCCAGTACAGGGCCAGGTTTCAGGCAAATGAACTGAAACCCACTGACAGACCACTGCTATGACTTCCTTTTGATTTATTTTCTTTCTGGGATACAGTCCACTTTGGAACAAAGGCTGCGTCTCTCCCTGTGCCTAGAGAGCTCAACTCTGTCCGCTTCTGTTCTGCAAATGAGCCCGAGGGCATCAAGGGGCTGGAGCTCCAGCTCTCCTGGGCCCCTCCCCGTGTCCCTCAGTCATCAAGAGCAAGGACTCTTCAAAACTCAGAGGGTCTCAAATGTAACCCCAGCACGGGTCTAGAGCCAGCTTGAAACATTGACCTGCATTATAGCTGCCAATTCGGGGCTCAGCTAGAAGCAGCAAAGTCTCATCCGTTCTGAAGCAGAACAGGACACCTCAACACTGAGTCACAGGCCAGCAGCCACCCCCTTCGGGACGCTGGCCCCGGCCCTTGGGCTCCTCTGGGCCATGTTCCCCTGACTTCAGGGCAGAGCATGACATGGCCAAAGCAGCAAGTGAGAGTCACAGACCAGCTTATTCCCTGACTCATTCCTACCAAGAGAAACCAGTCAATGAGAAACAACTTTGGGGAACCAGAGACCAAGGGTCTAATGTTACTTTAAAAAGATGCCTGAAGTGTTTTTACAACCAGACACAGCGGCACATTCACACTAATCCTTTTCCCAAGCAGACTGACACAGCACAAATTGTCATTCAACATGTTAAATCACATTCTATTAAGAGAATTCTCTCTTCCTTTCTGCCAAACAGTGGCAATCCAAACCCTCAAGTTTAAATAATGTTGGTGGAAGAGACTACGTTTACACAGACTGATCAAACGAAAAGATACCTCATTCTACTTTCCAAGTGCACAAACTCTTTCTCCTTCACTGAACATGCTTATCTGCTTGAGTCACCGGATTTGAGGGAGAACTAATATCAGGTCCATACGCGCCCAATACTTACAACCCTTTTCTGAAACTTATTTCACCCAAAATCAAATTACTGCTTTTTAACTAGTGTAAAAATAATAATCTTTTAAAAGAATTTCTATGTTCTACAATGTCTGAAATAAAGATTTTAAATCCTATGAAACTAATTTATAATTGAGAATTAAAGTCAGATACTCTCATCACTTTTCTCCTATCGTTTTTTTTCAGTGGCTGCATAACCTCTTCCCTTAGGTGTTACCCTTCAACAGGTATCTACAAACAGACAAATCACCTCTGAGTAAAAAGGCTGTTCCAGTAAGTGAACAAAAATGGCGCTAAAGGATTTTCATTATAGATAGACCGAACATAAGAAACTCGTTAGAAAATGAACTACTGCCATCTAGAAGAGGAAATGATTTCCTCACAACATCAAGCTTCATTCCTACCTTCTCCACAAAGAACTTGCCAACCACCTTTCCTGCCTCTTCTCTCCTTCCTCACAACTAGAAGCAGCAATCAATTTTGTGTTTCACTGTTCTATAATGGTTTTACAACCTGACTTTAGTTCCCCATTTTCATTATATACTTTTTCAGGGTTAAGACCATGTCTCAGTCTTGATAATCCTTGTAGAATATAATGCAGTGCCAGGCAAGTCAGAAGTCATCAGGAAATACTGTGGACTCACCGCCACAAAAAGGATCATGAATATGGAAAGCCATTTCCTCTCTAGAAATTGAGAAGGGAAAAAAATATCTAAAATCTCATAGTATTCTTACAAAATCTGCACTCAGCATCCAGTTTTCATCCTCACCCCTTCCAAGCCACAAGCATCTCCAACCCTCTTTATTCACACAACAAGCATTTACTGAGCTTCTACTTATTTACAAGGCACACCACAGATACTGAGTTATAAAGGTAAGGAATCAGTCCCTAACATGAAGGTGTTCATGGTATAATGCAGAAGACAGGCAAAGACAAACATAGCAAAAGGGATTGTTTGTTATGATATGATTAAATCAAGAAGCTCTGAAATGCACAAAAAGATGTTTCCATATATGCCAGTGGTTGGGGTGAAAGACATGTGGGAGTCAAGCAACAGAAATAGGAAAAAATTATTGCCACACTTTTAAGGAAAGAGACCCTGGTAGAGAAAATACTAAGGTTGAAAGAATAGAAACAGGAGAGAATGTGGCAGTTTTCAGAGCCACAAGTAGTTGGCCTTGGCTGAAGGACAAGGTTAAAGGCAGAAAGCAGGTGTATGAAGTAGGGTAAAGAGCTTTGTACATAACACTAAGGCATATGAATTTATTCTGCAGGCATGTGAAAATTGTTGCAGGGATTAAGCAGGGGACTGATAAGATCCAATGAATGGATTCAAAAGATATGCAGGGATTACAGTCGTTAGAACTCAGTGAATAAAGGTGAAGGGTGAGAGAGAAACTTAAGACGACCCTCATGTTCTTGGCTTAGTCAACTGGGTGAATGGTGCAATCATTAACTGAAATAGAGAATAAAAAATAAGGAACATATTGGGTGGGGAAGATAAAAAGACCAGTTGCAGACATGTGGGGTTTGAGGTGTCAATTAAAAAAAATCCAAGTGAAGATATCTAAGGAGAGTTGGTTATACAGCCATAGAGCTTAGGAGTGGAGCCTGAATAGTTTTATTGATTTGGGAGTCATGTACTCACAGACAAAATCATGGCACTGAATGAAGACAACAAGGGAGATGTAGAAATGTAGGAGGATCTCGAAACTCGATACGTAAGGACCAGGCTTCTCTTTAAAGCAATGTTGGTGTTACTATTTTAAATATAGAGAACTATTTGTAAATATTTAGGATTCCCCTACAGACATCAATTCTCATAAAAATTAGACAAAAAGGCATTCAAGAGAACATGCCCTTCATGACAGCTGCTGGATTTCACTATTTAATCTGATTCTTTTATGAGCCTGAACACATGAGCAAGTGCTTTATTTTCATGATAGACTAAAACAATCTTCAAACATCGGCAGAAAATTAGACCAAGAAGAGGGAACAAGAACTTGATAATTCTACCACATGTAATAATTTAGAGGATGTTCATATCCTCAATTTTAATATATTGATAAGCTTTTACTCCAGTTTGACTTTTTTATTCTGATGATGACAAACCATTTATCTTTATCCATCTTCTGGTCATTTCACTTAAATGGAATTGCTTTTTCACTGTCGGAAGTAACAAAGCTTTGGGTTTCCCTCCCATTTCATTCATTTCTTCTTTGTCTTCTTCTCAAATATATTTCCTAATGGTTAAGACATCAGAGATAGTTCCTTTTGAATCCCTTCCCTGTCATTCTTCCACTTAGCCTAAAATGCTTGGGTATGGCATGAAACCACAGAGGGTTTCCGTG